CCCCCCACTTTCAGCCCCAATCCCAAAACCAATACCTAGACACCCAAGGAGTACAGGAAACAAATATTCTTTCGAGGAGTAGAACCCAACCCCCCCCCCACACACACACACTCTCAGCCCCAAAGCAGTGGCCCTCTAATCCCGAAACCAATACTTAAGACCCCCAAGCAGTACAGGAAAGACATCCTTTCGAGGAATGCAAAATAGAAACCAACAACTGATTAGTTCACTTTTTCCCAAAAAGGCAAATCCTGAAGAAACAATGTTTTTCGAGTCCCAAAGTAGAAACCGTCTACCCTGTTCGCGGGGGGTAGTCCGCATTCACGAAGTAGAAACTGCAGCGGCAAAACGAAGATTCAGATCGCTCTCTCATTCCAAAGTAGTAGAACCTAGTGTTGTCATAATAATGAATTCCCATACTACACACCTGAAAGGGGGTTAAACCCTATGCACCCCCCCCCCTCTTGGACCCTGTAGATAACGACATGCACCCCCCGTACATAACGTCTTGCACCCTACATTTGGTGACGAAGATTCAGATCGCGCATTCCAAAGTAGTAGAACTGAATGTTGTAGTAGTACTGAATCCCCATACTACACCTGAAAGGGGGTGAACCCTTTGCATCCCCTCCCCTTAGATAAAGACATGCGCCCCCCGTAGATGGCGCGTCTTGCACCCTGCATGGGATGTCAAACCCTGATAGACATAAATATAGCAGCCTACCCTTCCAAATAGTCGCTACGGAGTCTACGGCCCACCGTTGAGCACTTCTCGACCTGGCCATTCCCTCATGTCCAGGGCATTTCAGAGACTGGTGGAGACATCAACTCCGACAGAAAGTATCTTGAGTCAAGGAAGGTGGATGGTCTCCACGCCCAGACTCTCAAGTTCGGTCCCATGTTGTTGGCCCGGAAGGAGGAATCCTTCCGAGTCTCATTGCCGGGAAATCGTTCCAAAAACCAGTAGAATCAAGAAAGACTAGATACTCCACATTCCCCACATAACAATACCGCACAGGATTCCTCGTCGGTAGACGGTCTCCTAGCCCAGACTCACAAGTTCGGTCCCGAATTGGCCCACAATCATCCCATGTCCCATCGCCGGGTAATCGTTCCAAAACCAGTCGAATCAAGAAAGACTAATCCTCCCCCACCCCCCCCCATCCCCCCCATCACAATACCGCACAGGATTACTCTTCGGTGAATGACAGAACTGGTCTCCAAGACCAAATTCTTGAAGTCGAAGCTGCATCGGCCGGCGATCTATCCATGTCGACTTGTTGAGCACAACCTCCTCGTCCGGAACCGCTTGCATCCAAAAAAAGAGCCGATTCCCTCACATCTGGGTCACAAT